GTCTTCGGCCTCGGGGGCATTCGCCGAGCCTTGGGACCGTCGCAGAGCAACTCGGGATGACGAGCCGGCCCTGGTGAAAGGGGTCGGGACACGGGGACCGCGTGCTGAAACAATCCAGACGTCGCATGTCCGCGGTTGTGTCCGAGCGGTTGGACTGCCTGGCCGGGCCAGTTGTTGCAGTGGGCGTTTGCGCGAGATGATCCCCGCGCAGCGCGCCTCGCGATGGAACGACTGCGTGCGAGCGGAAAAAGGAGGCAGGACATTTGGAGGATGAGGAGGGCAAGCGGGCTTGAGGGAGAGGAAGTTCAGAGGAGGTCTAGTTGAGTCGACGGTAGGTGGCCTTGTGCAGGGGGGGGGGTCCGCCGCCGCGGTTGGACACAGCTGGACGGCTCCCGTCCCCTCCTCTTCTACCTCCTCCTCTGCCCGCCCATTTTCTCTGCTTCCCCGCTTCCCTTCTCCCTTGGCGAACAGAATGCCAGGTTGACCCCGGCCACGTGACATTCAGCTCTTCGGGCCTGTCCTCCCTGATGCCCAAGTCGACCGTTCACCTGCAGAACCTCGTCCTGAGCGAGGACTTGCTAGGGATGTCGAGGAGGACCATGAGAAGGAGGAGGAGAAGGAGGAGGAGGAGGAGGAGGAGGAGCGAAGAGGAGACGGATGGGGCGGGCGGAGGTCATCTCGGCGCGAATGCTGAGTGCGTTGCTTCTGGAGCCGGTCGGTGGCTACGGAGCAGTTCGTTCCGCTTGCCTGGCCTCACGGATGGCACCGCGTGGCCGAGTGTTGAAGATATGCATGAACAGAAGTTATCAGTTGTTGGTTATGTTGGAATCATGGTGTTGTGCATAAGAAGCCAAGAACTAATACACGGCGTATCCGCCGCCAGAGTTGGCCGCCACCGTTGTGGGTTGCTGCAGGGGGTGAGGCAGGTGAGTACCAGTTGGAGGATCCAATGTAGCGTCTCGTGGGGAGCCAAAGGGCCAGAGCGCGACCAGGGACATGGAGATCGTCGCTTCCGCCGAGGTGGAGGGAGCTAAGGAGGAGAAGCAGACTGACAAGGCGCACGGAGATTCATCACCTGGAGATGTCCGATGGTGGGCCAGCTAGCCAGGGCGGATTGTCGACCACGTGTGCCGCTTTGTGCCAGTGGTGACAGACGCCTGGGCTGCTCTGTGGCCTGCGGTGAGCTATACAGCGGCGCTGAGCCGTGCCGAGTGGCCTCGACGATCAGCGCCGTCCGGCTGCGCCCCTGCCCGGATGCGGGAGCGGCCAGCCAGGACGGGGTCTGCCGACCCGCACGGCCTGCTCCGCCACGCCCGAAGAGCAGAGGAAGGCTCTGGGTCAATCCGTGGCCACCGCGGGGAAGCAGCCCGGGCGCCCAGAGGGCGTCATTGCGGAGCGCAGGCGCCTCGAGGTCCCCAGCGTCGCCCTTCTCTCATGTAATATATGCATGGCCGCGCCGCGCGAGGGGAGCCTGCCAATTTTTGGGCGGGCCGCGGTGCTCAGGAGTGATGCGACGAGACGGTGAAGAGATGACCAGGGGGTCGCGGCGCCCCGGGGGAAGTGGACGGTTCACAAGAGGCCAGTCCGTCGTCGTGGCCGCCGCCGCCGCCGCCGTCGAGGCCGCGAGGCCGCAGCCCGCGACCCAGACGAGAAATGGCTACGTGTGATCCGTTTGGTCGCTGAGAGGCGAGAGGGCACGAGTACCTTCAGCCGGCGTGCGGGCAGGCCCTGGTGGAGCAGGCGGGAGAGCCTCTGCCCCGCCAGCGAGGGCCGGTGGCCAGACTGGCTCGAGGTCGGCCAGGCCAGGCCCTTCTCCGTGGAAGAGGCCCCAGAGGTACCGGTCGGCGAGTGAGGCGTGCTCTCCAGGCGTGCTCGCCTCGTGAAAAACAGAGGCGGGGGGGGTATTCGCCGCGTGCGGCCTCTGGGGGCCTCCGCCGGGCCGCGTGACTGTCGACAAAAACACAGCTCGGGAACTCGGGACGGAAAGCCGGGCCTGGGGAGAGGGTCGGTGTGTTGAACGAGTCGAGCATCGCGTGTCTGGGGCCTCCATCGTTGACCATGGGAAGGCATGTCTCCTCGAAGTTGCCGGGAGCGTTGCCGGGGGAGGCCGAGGCGAGGCCTTCTCATCGCGGGGCACCGCTGCCCCGTCCGCGCCAACTGCGGCCCGTGGGTCGACGCTCTCCTGCGCTCGGGAGGTCCGTTGTGGGCCGCTGCTTCTGCATTCCTGTGTGACCTGGACTTGGTCAGGTCGCCGTGGCCAGGCGCCCGGGTCGGCCCGACCTGCCCCGAGCAGCCTCGAGGTCGCCAGCTGCCCAGCATGGCGGCCGGCGCCGTCGCGCCGCTGGCGAGGGCGGTCGAGGGCGTGCCCGGGTCGCCAGACCCCCCCCCCCCGCGAGTTTCGTTTCAAGCAGCCCGCTGGCGAGGGCGATCGAGGGCGTGCCCGGGTCGCCAGACCCCCCCCCCTTGCGAGCTTCGTTTAACAGCAGCCTGCACAGCATGCTGCAGCAAGCTTCAAGCAGTGGCGAAGCGTCCCGGCTCGCCTATAGCCCCACCAAGCAATGTTCTAAGAACCTTTTGTGGTTTCCACGAGATGTTCTTAGAGCATTTCTGGCCGAGATTGACTTGTTTTAACACGTCGGGCTTATGTCCTAAGAGCATCGTTTCTGTTCTTGGAGCATTTTTGGGGTTCTAAGAACATTTCGTGGTAGGACGATAGGAATGCCAGAGCGGTCGGTCCCTGCTCAAAAGCGCCCTGTCGGGGGCGTGCCGAGATTGGGGGGGGGGGGGGGGGGGGGGGGGGGGCCTGCGGGCCCTGTGCTCGGGGCCCCCCATCGGGGCTCGGAGGCTTGGGCCCCTCTTAGGGGCGTTCCAGGGCCAGGTCGGGCCTGTCCCCCTACAGGGGGATTTTCGACGAAAAATGGAAAATACACCCAACATGCTCCAAGAAGGTCGACAAATATGCAAAAAAAAACTCCAGACCATTTTTGGACTATTTTTTGTTTTTTTTTTTGGGTATTTATTTTTTCGTCGAAAATCCCGTGTAGGGGGACACGCCCGAGATAATTCTAGGGCCCCGTGGCTCGAAAGGGGTGGGCCCTTCAGCCGCCCCCCCGCCCAGGAGGCCGAAGGGTGACCTCTCGGGGCGCTCTGTTGGCCTCCCGGAGGCCGTCCTGGCGCCGTCGCCGTCGTGAGCTCCTCTTGTCCTCTCGGGCTTGGGGCAATCTTGAGGTCTCATAGGCCCACCCCAGAGGCGCAACGGCGAGAAGCCACCGATATCACGATGTCCCCAAGGTGTTGGGACAGGTTCGGCTTCGGACGCATATTTAAATATTTTTATGATATATATATTTATATATTATATATTGGGGGGGTTCTCGAGGGGCCCTGGGGGCACTTGGAGCCGACTTGGGGCCTCTCTGAGGTATGCTGGAGGCTCTATTGAACTGTCTTCGGCTGTCTTGAGCCATTCTATCTCGGAGGGCATCTTGGGGCGTGGGGGGCCATCTAGGAGCCACCCTGGGCCTAAATGGACCGTCTGACGAATCATGCCCAGCCCCCCAAGATCCCCAGGGAGGGGGTAGGGCGAGCGGCAGCCCCCTCCTCGAATGGGGGACGACGGCTTCGGGAAGAGGGAGGGGCGAGCTCGACACACCACGTGCGCCCAGGTGGCCGCCGGCACCCCATCTGGCGGCGAGTGCAGGGGGAAAGGCGGGGGGGGGGCGGCCCTTCTTCGGAGGCTCGGGAGGCCTCGGGCCTTCCGATCCGGGTTCGGAGCCTTCCCCGACCTGGCAGCGCTCGGACGTGTGCACTTTTTCTCGGCGAGAGCCATCGAGGACCATCCTGGACCATCGAGCAACAAAAAACACGCAATGCACGGGAAGTGGACGTCCGAGCGACGGCAAGCCGAGGATAGACATGGCTTCTCGGAAAGCGGGAGGCTTCTGAGAAGCACCCCCAAAAAAAACACGCACGAAACCGAAAAATGCACGGGAAATGGACGTCCGAGCGACGGCAAGCCGAGGGTAGACATGGCTTCTCGGAGAGCGGGAGGCTTCTGAGAAGCACCCCCCGCCGGCTGAGGAGGCCTGCCCCGTCTTGCTCCTCCCCTGCGCCCGCCGCCGATCGCAGCATGCTGGGGTACGAGGCAGCGGTAGGAGAACCCGAGCCAGAGGCGTTCAAAGTCCAGGGCCTTGGCAGGTGCCTTCCAAGACAGTGCTTTGCAGCTCGAGTGCGTTACTCCAGGCCTCCCGGATCGCGTCCAAGCAGAGGGAGCCGGTGGATCGCGACGCAGCGCCCACGCATCAGCGATGCGGCTCGACGCGGAGCCAGAGCTTCCGCACGCCGACGGCTCCGATGCACCACCGTCGCTGATGCATCGCCGATGCACTGGCGATGCGCCAAGGTCCTCCGGTCCCATCTGCCCGACCCTATATCTAGGATTAAGTCGGGCCTGTCCCCCCACAGGGGGATTTTGGACGAAATATATAACAAATAGCCAAGACATGCAGTAACATACCCCCACATCGTCAAGACATAGTCCCCAGCCTATGGTTCTACTGTGCTGGAGTATCCCCCCTGCAGTAGAGGGGCAGGCCCGACTTAACATCTGGGAGGCCTCTGGGCTTCCACGGAGCGGGAGGCGCGAGGGAGAGGGCCGGCGCGAGGGAGAGAGCTGCCCCCCAGGGCCAGGAACCCGGCGCCGCGAGCTCGCCCTCCCGGGGCCGGGGGCGGCAAGGAGGGGGGTGATGACCAGGGTTCAGTCGGGCCTGTCCCCCTACTCCAAATCCCTTATTAATCGACCCCCCCCTAAAAAACCAGACCCCCCTCCAAATGCGACCTAATATTCCGGACCCCCTCTTCGAGGGGGCGCCTTAGTAAGCCAGACCCCCTCAGCTCCAATCCGAAGAAAGCGACCTAATAAACCGGACCCCCTTAATGACCAAAAAGGCGCCTTAAAAAACCGGACCCGGGGGACGATTAATAAGGGATTTGGAATACAGGGGGATGTTCGACGAACAAAAATTAAGACATATTCAGAAATAGGCCCTAAAAGAATCCGAGAATAGTCTGGGGACTGTTTTTCTAGTATTTGTTTTGACATGTTTGGTACTCTTTGGGTTTTTGTTTTTTTCCTCGAAAATACCCCTGTAGGGGGACACGCCCGACATAAGACTAGGGGGGGGTGGATATCATGGCGGGGGCCATGATATTTCCCCATATCTCATGGCGCCTCTTCTCATTTCCTTACTTCCCTGGCCCCCCCGCTGGGCCGCGCACATGCCGCCGGTCATGATTTGCACCCCCCCCTCTTGGAAACCCCCGTCTTGGCCGCTCCCGACGGGGCTCGCTTCGGCTCTGCCGACTCGACTCGCGTCGATGTCGATCGATTTCGGTGCCGGCTCGATTCGGCTTCGGATGCCGCTTTTGGGATGGCGTCTTTTGCTGAAAGTTTTGCCAGCTCGGGTGCCGATTTTTCCGCCGACTCGACTGATCCCGACTGGGCTGCCGATGCCCTCCGATCCGGCTCATGGCGATCGCCGACCCGACTTGTCGATCCAGTTCTGCGCTCTCCTGTCCCTCCTGCTTTCACCAGTTTTAAGCACATCCTTATAGGAGGAGGAGGAGGAGGAGGAGGAGGAGGAGGAGGAGAAGGAGGAAGAGATTGAGTAGGAGGAGGAAACGGAGGAGGAGGAGGAGGGAAAGGAGTTCATCGACGAGCCGCAGGCTGAGGCGAGGCCCTACGGCTGTCGCCGGCACGCCGCGTCCTCGTGGACTGTGCCGGAGGCTCGGGCCAGATCCCGAGCGAGTAACCGCCAGCAGCTCGTCGGGAAGGGCCAGACCGTTGGACGGGCCCAGGCAGGCTCGCGCCGTGATGGATCATCGCGGAAGGTTTTTCGCCGCTTCCGGCCTCGGGGAGCCCTCTCCGGTCCTCGAAGAAGAAACACGTAGTAAACATCAACTTGTGGCGCTCCTCGCGGATTTCTTGGATCCGCGCTGGGCCCCCTTGGCGGCGCCGCCCCTGGCGCGCTCCGCGCACCAGAGAGGGGCGTCTGGCGCGGATCTAAGAAATCCGCGCGGAGCCCCAGAAGTTTGCTTTTGAAGCGTTTTCTTCTTGTAGGTCCCCGGAACCGTCGAGCACCGACTCGAGATGAGAAGCCGGCCCTGGGGAAGGAGCCGGGATTTCCAGGGACTTGTCATTGGAAACGTCAGGACGTCGCATGATTGGGATGATGGTCGGACGGGGGCTTGGACGAGAATAATTAGGTCCGTTCCAGAGCTTTCGGGAACGCTCTCAGAGCGTCATAGGAGTGCTCCGAGGAGCCCGCAACGCCCGAGACATCCTGCAGAGTTGCGGGATATCAGAGATTCTTATCCTCACCCGATTTTATCCGTGTCATGTCTTCGTCGTAAGTCTCAAATTGGGCATGTCCTTCTACAGGAGGAATATTCAAACATATAATGAAACAACTGGGGCCGATTTGTTATATTTGTCCCATTATTAATTTTGTTTGCTCACTGTTTCGTCCAAAACCCGCCTGTAGGAGGACCTGCCCGACCTAATCGTAGTCTGGGGATGGTCTGGGGATGTGTAGTGTAACGGGGGGCGCGGGGTGGTGGAGCGGAGATGCGGAGCGCATGGGGAAAGAGGGAGGGGGAGGGCCAAGCTAGGTGCGCTCGCGTCATATCTGACGTCCTACCCCTCCCTCCCATCCCTTACCATGGCGCTGATTTTCTCTATCGGCGGACGCGTGTCGTCGCGGACCTGTGGCTCCGCGCGCGCGTGCGTAGTGGGTGGTGGTGCACGTGCGTGCGTGCGTGCGTGTGTGCGTGGTTGTCGTGGTGGTGGTGGTGGTGGTGGTGGTGGTGGTGGTGGTGGTGGTGGTGGTGGTGGTGGTGATGGTGGTGGTGGTGGTGCTGGTGGTGGTGCTGGTGCTGGTGGTGTTGGTACTGGTGCTGGTGCTGGTGGTGGTTGTGGTGGTGGTGGTGGTGGTGGTGGTGGTGGTGGTGGTGGTGGTGGTGGTGGTGGTGGTGGTGGTGGTGGTGGTGGTGGTGGTGGTGGTGGTGGTGGTGGTGGTGGTGGTGGTGGTGGTGGTGGTGGTGGGGGTGGTGGTGGTGGGGGTGGTGGTGCGGCGCGGTGGTGGCGGGCGGATGGGCGCGCGAGAAAGAGGCCCGCGCTGGGGCGAGAACGCCATCCTGAACGACGGAGGCCAAACACCGATCCGAAAATGAGGCCCACGCTGCAGCGGGAGCACGATTCGGAACGATTCGGGAGCAGAAATGAGGCCAGCGCCTCAACGAGAGCAGCATTTTGTGAAAAAATGACGCCGGCGCCTCAGCGAGAGTCGTTTCCCGGGATTTCCCGGGCATCCTGTGTGTAAAAAACAGTACGCGGAGGGTGCGCGGCTACCACCCGGACGCCATCAGGGGAAGGATTCGGGAGCAGAAATGAGGCCGGCGCCTCAACGAGAGCAGCATTTCGGGAAAAAATGACGCCGGCGC